GTTATTCTAATAACAATACTAATTATAATCTGGAATTAATTCAATTCATCCCAATATTTTACAACATATTGAAAATCAGTCTGGACACATTGTCTTTTGGAGTTCTGTATTCTTCCTTCTCATTTCTATTCAATATACTCATTATGTATTTGTTGCTTTTTTTTATTTCTTTATTAACTCCACAGAGTCCCAACATCAAATATGTAATCTAACCCTTAAAGAAAATAGTATATAAGGTATTAGAATGACTATATATATTATCAAATGATTTCAAACACATGTACATATATTGCACATATTTTTGTAGGCCTATATCTGTTTTATGTATTTATATATCACTACTATTGGCAACTATGAAGTTTTTTATCAATCTATTTAAAAAATGCAATGGCAAAATTTCACATGGTAGACATTGAAAACAATGCCAAATGGACTATAGTAGTTCCAAAGTTAATGTCATATTCTTACATTTTTCTCACTTTGAATTGCCCATAACAGATTTTATATCGGTATTATAGAATTACTGCACCCCTTCTCCTAGAAAAGGAAATAAGTGTAGATTTTAAGAAATCTACTCCTCCTATTTTTATACCAATGTTGTTTTCACTGAATGTTACAGCTCTAGGTGATGATGATGACGATGACTTATGTGTTTCTTCCATCTGGAATTGTCCATGGAGAAAATATCCCTATAGAGAATTCTGAAAGTCTCATTATTCGAATATTACAAATATGAAAATTGAAGCAGAGAGAAGTACAATTTTCTCAAATTCACACAAAAACTCAGAAGTGAAGCCAAAAGTAGAACCCAACTCATGTGGAATAGATCTAATGCAACGTGCAATGTCAAGTTTGCAATGGTAATTAAGCTGAGTAGTATAATTGCCTAAATTGTAGTCCAGGAAAATAGTGCCATATTTACAAACCTAATTATATCAAGTAGGAGAATTACCTGAATGAGAGTAATCATATGGATAGAGTTCACATACTTTATATGCTTTACTTTTTTTTTTATCCTGAATGTTTTAAAAATAGAAGTTTGAGATATAACAGGAACCAAAAAAGAAAAAAAAAAAGCAGAATCTGGAATCAAACAACCTCGCTCTCAGGTGATATATCTTCCCATCTGTGAATCTTAGGTATGTTAAGTAACCTTAGTCTCAACTCCCTTATCTATAAAATAAGAATAATGTAAAATCATATTAGAAATAACACATCAATAGCAACTTTAGTTCAGCTGCCTATCCCTAAGTAGTTATAGAATAACAGGCAACTATGAATCTTTTTGATTAGTAAGTAGTAATAATACATGGACACCCAACAACTAGTTTCTTGTTTGTTTGTTTTGTGAGAAAGCAGGACTTATTGAGAGGACAGAAAAGCTCCCACAGTGGGAGAAGACCCGAAGGGGTTGCCCCAACTAGTTTTTAATCAATGATTTTTGGCCATTTTTTATTTTTTATTGCCAAATTGATTAATATATGTAGGAACAGTATATGATATGCAAATTCACCTATGGCCCAAAAGTGAAGTCAATGCAATTCCAAAGGTGAATAATGTCTCAGCTTAAATATTTCACTGTGAAAATATCTGAGGAAATTACACTAATGTTAATAAAGCATTGTGATTTTAAGATCACTGGTATAAATGTCTTTAGAAATTTAATATATTTCTTTTCACTTTCTCCTAGCACTGAGCATTTATTAAAACCGAGATTGTTTCTAAAATGAAAATGGGGAATATTTAAAATATTCCTGATATAGAAGATGAAACAGAACTCACCCTAGCAGATATAAAGGCTTATTATAAAATTATAATTAAGATTACGTGGTTTTGTCACAGATATAGAACAATGTATAAACGAACAGAAGACAGTGTAGCAATAAAGCCATGCATATATATATGGAAACTTGATTTCTAACAAAATTGAAATAGTGATCCCCGGGGAAAAGATAGACTATTTAATAAATGGACCTGGAACAACTTGTTATCAATTTGGAATAAAGTAAATTTAGGTCTGCTCTTTGCCCTGTACTAAAATCAATACTTTCTGGATTAACCATTTCAATTTGAAAGACAAACTTTAAAACTCTTAGAAGACACAAGGGAATAGCTTAGTGGCTTCAGTAGAGAGAAGATTTTCTCTTTAAAGAAGACATATGCACACTAGCCATAAAAGAAATAATTGATAAATTTGAATGTGTTAACATTAAGAGTTTCTGATCACCATTAAATACTCTAAGAAATTGAAAAGTAAAACATGAAAAGTAAAACATAAATTGAGAGAAGATAGCTGACAGGTAACTGCAAAGCATTGTTAACATTCAGAACATATTTTAAAAGTCTATAAAGAAAAAAATAAATTAATAAAGAATTTAATGCAACCAGACATGCAGAGGCATTTCACAAAAGAAGAAATAAAATGGGCCTAAACATTTTATTATTATTTTTGAGTCGAGGTCTCACTCTGTCAACCAGTATAGAGTGCAGTGGTGCAATCACAGCTCACCAGTCTCAAACTCCTGGACTCAGGCAGTCCTGTAGCTTCAGTCTCCCGAGTAGCTGGTACTACAGGCATGCATCACCATGACCAGCTAATTTTTTGTGTCCTCTTATAGAGATGAGGTCTCACACTATGTTATCCAGGCTAGTCTTGAAATCCTGGGCTCAAGTAATCTTCCTGCCTTGGCCTCTCAAAGTGCTGGGACTACACATGTGAGCCACTATGACAGGCTGGGCCATAAACATTTTAAAGAAGCTTTACTTCTTTAGCAATCAGGAAATGCAAAATAAGAACACTGAGAGATAATGTCATAAGATTGTATTGGAAAAAATTAAGACTGATATTTCCAAATGTTGGCAAGTATATGAATCAATCAGAATTCTAACACTGGACTAGGGAGGCAAGTTAACTTGGGGTAACTTTGGAAAACAATTTTTTTGTATTATTGTGTAAAGATGGGCCTTCACATACCTTAGGACCCATTGATGCAAGCCCTAGTTATATACCAGAGAAGTTCTATCGCATGTTTATCAGAACACAAATGTAGGAATGTCTATAGCAGCATTACATATAAAAGAAAAGAAGGTAATTCAAATGTCCATGGACAGTTGAATGGAAAAATGGTAGCATACTCACACAATTTGGAATATTACACAGTAATAAAAAATGAATAAATAAGTCTCTTGAATCAACATGTATAGGACAAAAAGCCTGCAGTTCAGAGCATTCCATTTTCATAAACCTAACAAAGAATACAAAAGAGTATATTTTTGGGGTCACGTTATGGAAAAAACTTTCTTTTTTTAAAGGAAAGGCTTGGGAATGATACATCAAATTTAGGCTTGTGGTAATTTTGGATGGGGCAGATAAAATACAATGTAAAAGCAACCCTTAGCTTACAAGAATCTAAAATATTGAGAAACACAATAAGTGCCCTACATACGAGTTCCATTTCAAGAGAGCATTCCTAAGTCCAGTTTGTTTGCAAGTCCAATAAAATTAACCTAAGTATCCAGCTAACACAATTGGCTACATAGTACTGTACTGTAATAGGGTTATAATACTTTTCACACAAATAATAAATAAAAAATATATAGTACTATACAGTAAAGTACACAAAAACATAGTTACTTGCACAGGATGCATGCAAGTGACAATGTACTGCAGACATGTGAATTAACGTATGTGATTGGACATGGGAACTCATGTTCACATCTTTGAAAGTTCACGATTTGAAGTTTCATGTTTAGGGGACTTACTATAAACAAATTTCCTTCTAAGCAAGATGCAAAGATGCCAATAGTATTTTGGTTCTGATAATGGGTGAACCTTTTATACATGTTTGTCATTTTTTATTTTTAACATATTTTTACTTATATATTTAAATAAATAATTTATAGATGTGCAAATATTATATACATATATATGTGTTAAATGTGTTAGGCAAATTCAATTCAATTTGAAAGACAAACTTTAAAACTCTTAGAAGAAGACAAGAAAATATCTTAGTGGCCTCAGCAGAGAGAAGAAAGGAAAAGAAAACATCTCAACAGAGTTTACGAAAATGATGTAGTATATCGTTCAGGGTTAGCACTTAACACACATGGAGAATTTTTTACTGTGGTCATATTTTTTGGAAAATCATTAGATCACATGTTTTCAAAGTAAAATACAAGAACTAAAGGCAGAAAATAAAAGGAATAGTTCAAAACAAGACAGTCTACCTGTGAGGTGAGTAGTCAAAAAAAGAATTGTGAACATAGCAGTGGCTCAGATACAGCTTCCTCAGTAGTTCCCTAAGCATGTTTGAAACTAACTCAGAAATTGAAAGCTAGATATCAAGTCAAGGAAGAACGTGGGGGAGGGAGACTTTGACCAAAACAAGTATGTTAGCTCCAATTCATAGAAACTCTTTTAGAGCCAAATACCTTTAAATAGCCTTAAATAATAGCTTTTTGTTGTCCATTTATATTGTATGCTGTAAAATACAAAATGTATGAATTTATATGTACCTTCTAAAAGTTTTAAAATTATTATCATAAACATAATCTAATTAAATAAAATGTTGATTTATTTTATTTTATTTTTTGTGTCAGCGACTCACTCTGTCACCCAGGTGACAGTGGCCCACGGCCACCACAGCCTCGACCTTCTGCTTCAGCCTTCCAAGTAGCTGGGACTACAAGCATGCACCACCATGCCCGACTAATATTTTGATTTACTGTAGAGATGAGGTTTCGCCAAGTTGCCCAGTCAGGTCTCGAACCCATGGACTCAGGCAAACCTCTCATCTTTACCTCCCAAAGTGCTGGGATTACAGGCGTGAGCCACTGTGCCTGGTCTGACTTATTTTTATATTCACTTCTTCATGGTGTCTTTGTATAAGCCTTTGAAGAACTATTGACAAAATGTCGGTAGTTTGATGATGATAAGAAAGAGAAAAAAGTGTCATTTTAATTTTCTTTTTTGCTATGTCTGTTCCCTTTCTTTGTTGAAGGTGAAAGTCTGGTTTCAAAATAGGAGAATGAAGTGGAAGAGGGTGAAGGGAGGACAACAAGGAGCTGCAGCTCGAGAAAAGGAACTGGTGAACGTGAAGAAGGGGACACTTCTTCCATCAGAGCTTTCGGGAATTGGTGCGGCCACCCTCCAGCAAACAGGGGACTCTCTAGCAAATGAAGACAGTCACGACAGTGACCACAGCTCAGAGCATGCACACTTATGATATACACAGAGAGGACCAGCTCCATTCTCAGGAAAGAAATGTGACAGCAAGCCTTACCCAAACATCGTTTACACAGAGAGTTGACTATGGCAGTGATTTTTAATATTATTAAATTCTGGCATCTTGAGTCTGTTTTTCATGATTTATAGAGGGTTTACACTAAGTGCCACTTATTAAAGACATTTCCAGAGTGAAGATGGAGACGGTGAACTTGCTTTGAATATTCCAGGTGTTTGGTCAGGTGTATGGCAGTGAGCAGGTATGTGTTTGCTTTTGCTTGCACTGAAAATTAAATTGCTATCAAGAGCAAACTATGAAACATTTTTATTCAAGATGCCTCAAGAGTGAAGATGCCAAAGATGAACTTGCTTTGAACATTCCAGATGTACGAGGTCATGTGAATGACAGTGGGCAGGTATTTGCTTTTGCTTGCACTGAAAATTAAACTGCTATCAAGAATAAACCAGCCACAGTGCCTGAAATCACTCGTTGATAAAAAAAATGTAACTCTGTATATATTATCCTTAAGTCATTTTCCTGTCTTCACTAATTTTAGCAATGCATTCATATTAGCTGATGAAAATGGGCGCTCACAATGACATCCAGAACTGCTTCTTGTCTTTTTCATACATTTTGTCATCCCGGAGACAATCAGTATGTGCTTACTTGTGTTCAAATAGATAAGAATACAGTAGAGTCTGATAGGACATATTCTTGTACCACAGACAAAACAAATCTTATGTTGCATTTACTATCAACTGCTGCTAATACATTATTATAAAATTTACCTAGCTCCTCAATTCTTCCTATCTTATAGCTTGAAAAAAATTTAGGATCATAGGCAAATCAGTTACCTTGGAAAGAGCTTTGTATGACAGACATTGTCTGATTTTATTTCTATAAAATGTTAGCTGCATGAATATGATTTCATTAACAATGAAAAGGTTTCTTCCTGATTGGTAATGGTGTTAGACAAGGTGCAAAGCAAAATTGGTTCCTCAAGTTGATAGAAAACAAAATCCTGATTATCTTCAAATTAAATTCAGTAGACACATTATTTTTTCATATGTGATATATTCATGCAGAAAAACAATCTTTGTATTTTGTAAAAAAAAATTAATAAATGATCCTTTGTAAATAATTTTGGTCTCCCTACTGTTATTTCCTTAATTTTTATAGATTTTAATACCAGTACTTAAGTCTCAAATTTATCTTCTCCAGATGATCATAATTAATCATTTACTTTTTTAATTTCTGAAACTTTTGTGATACATAAAAAATCAGTTCTCAGTAATCAAATGGTATCTAAAAATTAGTTAAGCCATTTCTCTAATTTGAAGAATACATCAAGTGGATTTCTTTGTGTACTTTATGAAGCCAAAGATCAAAGTGGGAGAAAAGGTAATATTATTCACCACAATGAGGTAAATAAAATAGTCACATATTTTAAAAGTCTTGCATAATAAGTGTGAGTTAATCCATTAGTTGTTCTCGAGTCAGAATATACAGAGACTTTGATGTGAAATATAGCTAAACAGGTCATCAAAATCCTCAGTTCTAAAGGACATTACTGATGTAAGAAGTCAAGGATTATGTTGACTTAATGCATTTTGCTTCATGCATGATTACACATGCTTTGGGTGCCTAAGTCATTATTATAAATTTATCACATTGTTTTTTAATTTGTTCCATATTTTAATCAGAAATGCTTGATATGGTTGCCAGTATCCCCTCCTTGCCCCAATTAACTAGAAATAGTGAAAAAAGTAGTCAGTAAAAATTTCTAAAACTTCATTAGTTAATTGATTTCATTTGCTTTAGAATGATTAGACTGACAAAAATTAAGTTGAATTTATTTTAACTTAGTCTAGTATGATATATAAGAGTATTCAAGAAATAAAGTAAATAACACTATTTGTATAACATTTTCCCTTTGTGCAATAAAATTTATCTCTGTCATTAACAATGTTTCTAAATTAACGTTGCGGATGGACCATTTAGATCGCAGTCTTCCAGACATAAAACAAACACTTTTCTATCAATCACTTGAATGAATATGAACTATATTTGTACCGATGACATCTACTTGGGTGGACTGACTCTTTTTCATGTAGAAAAGGATATAAATTCAAAACATCTTGACAAATTGGAAAAGTGGAAAGACGTAAATCAAATTGAGTCCAATAGGGACAAAGTGGAAGATAATTCATTTGGGCAGGAAAATAATTTCCAGAAATAAGAGAAAAAGACTACTTAGAAGTAGCTAAAAAAAAAAAAAAAAAAGAGCTAATGTTTGTAGCCAAGAAGAAAGATACATGATATAAGAATTTCAATGAATACATGAAGTAGAAAAAAGTGAAATTGAATAGATATGACATTTAGGAAACATAAGGCAGTTGTATCATGGGCCATATCTTTATTAGAGAATTGTGAGTGATCCTAAAATTAAATTTAACTCCAGAGAATACAAAGCGGTGGAAAGGCCACATGGCCAAGCAAAAGGAGTCATAACTTTATTTATGATTAATTAAAATGATCTACTATGTACAATGCTGGTCACATCAGCACGTTGTCAACACACTGACAAGTTAAACAGGCAGGCTAGAGTAATTTTAATTCAAGATAGATAGAATGTGCTATCTTTTTGGAGTATTTTCATATTCTTTCTTCAAAGTGGTGAATAAGTTAGCTAGATAATACTTCGATATCTTTGATAATTAAAATTTTTTGAGGAAAATTAAGATATTCTCATGCACTATCTGGGATTAGTTCACCCCAGAGGTGCCAGAAATCTAAAAGAACGCTACATGTTTTTATTCTACACTGGGCTCCTGGTATGGCATAGTATCTTATTACATAATGCCCTCTTCATGTAACTCTATCTTAGTCTCTGTGACTCTGTAGAAATTCATGATAGCATAAAAACACCTTTCTCTGAAAATAATATAAAATCATTGTTAGGGTGATTTTTTTTTTTTCCAGCAGGATCCAGAGGAATAAATACTACAAAGTTTTTCCAAAAGCTGATCCACATATTTTTGTTTGTTTTTAAATTGAAGTCTCACTCTGTCACTCAGGCTAGAGTGCAGGGGCATGTTCATGACCACTGCAGCCTTGACCTGCAATTCTCAGGTCATCCTTCTGCTTCAGCCTTCCAAATAACTGGGATTACAGGCACATGCCACCAGGCCTGGCTCATTTTTTTTTTTTTTCGAGTTGGAGTCTCACTGTCATCCAGGATGGAGCGTAGTGGCATGCTCATGGTCACTGCAGCCTTGACCTGCTGGGCTCAGGCAATCCTTCTGCCTCAGCCTTTCAAGTATCTGGAACTACAGGCATATACCACCATGCCCTGCTAATTTTTCTTGATTTATTGTAGAGACAGGTTTCGCCAAGTTATCCAGACTGGTCTCAAAACCCTGGGCTCATGAAATCCTTTCACCTTGGCCTCTCAAAGTTCTGGGATTACAGGTATGAGCCACTGTGCCTGGCTTATACAACGTATTTTTACTCATTATTAACATAACCCCAATTACTTCTTTTTTACCTATTCCTGGCAGTCTATATTTTCTTCTTCAGAGACCATGCATAACACCTAAGTTTGACTTTTTGTTTGTTTGTTTTTTGAGTCTCACTCTGTCGCCCAGGCCAGGGGTCTCTAGACCCCTGTTAAAAATCAGACCACACAGCAGGAGGTGGGCAACGGACAAGATATTGAAGCTTCATCTGTCTTTACAGTTACTTCCTATTGCTTGCATTACTGCCTGAAGTTCTGTCAGATCAGTGGTGGCATTTGTTTCTCATAGGAGTGTGAAATTGTGAACTGCACATATGAGGGATTTAGGTTGTGCACTCCTTATGAGAATATAATGGTTAATGATCTGAGGGAGAACTGAAGCAGTGATGCTAGCCCTGGGGAACAGCTGCAATACAGATTAACATTAGCAGTGAGGTTTGACTGCACAGAGACCACAATAAGTCAATTGCTTGCAGACATATCAAAACTCTGTCAGTGAGTGGCAAGTGAGTTGATGAACTTCAGTGTACAGCTGCATTTGATGACAGGCTTTTAGTCAGAATCCAACACTTATTTAAGTTTGAGCATGGCCTGCCCATCATTTCATTTACAACTTTCATCTGCACTTCTTTTTTTAAAATGATGAATTGGACAATTATTTAATTATATATCACAATGTAATAATAATAGAAATAAAGTGGACAATAAATGCTATGTGCTTGAATCATGCTGAAACCATCTTCCCCCAAGTCTGCAGAAAAATTGTCTTCTATGAAACCAGTCCCTGATGCCAAAAAAGGTTGTGAACTGCTGGTCCAGGCTGGAGTGCAGTGGCATGGTCACAACTCACTGTTACCTTGACTTCCTGGGCTCAGATGATCCTTCCACCTCAGCCTCTTGAGTAACTGGGACTATAAGCCCATACCACCCCATCCTGCTGATTTTTTTATTTTTTGTAGAGGCGAGGTCTCACTAAGTTGCCCAGGGTGGTCTCGAACTCCTGAGATTAGCAATCCTGCCTTAGCCTCCCAAAGTGCTGTGATTACAGGCATGAGCCACTGTGCTGGTAATTTTGTTTTTTTTTTTAAACAAACTAAATGCATTTAAAAATAACCTGCACTAAAGTTTTAACATATGTGTGGATGCCATTATATGAATTATATGTGGGAATGACTTGTGAAATTCAGTCAGAGCTTTCCTTAGCCTAGTAGATTATTATTTGAGGCAGACAGAAAAACAAAGTAAGTTATAAAACAAATATCTTACATTTCCAATGCTACTAGAACATTTTTTAAATTACTGCCATATTTTTTATGGCAAATGCTAATTTTAGTGTTACAGAATTTTAAAGAAACTATAGAGCTAAAACAAAATCAGTAACAAGGCAGTGAAGTATCCTAAGTTAGTGACTAGAAAGATCTACAAAAAATATTTTTCACTTTAAAGTATAAATATAATTAGACTGGTGATTTTTAAGAATAGTCAGGACAGGCTTAGTGGTTCAGCCGGTAATCCCACGCTCTGGGATGCCGAGGTGAGTGAATTACCTGAGCCTGCGGGTTTGAGACCCACCTGGACAACTTGGCGAGACCTCATCTCTACAATAAATCAAAAAAATTAGCCGGGCGTGGTAGTGCATGCCTGTAGTTACAGCTACCTGGAAGGCTGAGGCGGAAGGATCCCTGGAGCCCAGCAGGTCAAGGCTGCAGTGGCTGGGAGTGTGCCACTGCACTCCAGTGGGCAACAGAGTGAAACCCCAACTCAAAAATAAATAAGTAAATAAATAAAAAATAAGTCATTTACACCAGGCCCTATTTTTTGGGGGGGGTAATAAAATGTTGTTAAAATAATTCAGTTAATATTTGAGGTGAGTGATATTTGTACTATAATACAATGCTTAAAATAGCAAGTACAAATAAATGGCATAGTTGTTCTTGGAACCATCTGTGGAATAATTGCATTTTCTTGTCAGCTCCCTTTGTTGTATTATTTCAACAAAGAACAATCTAGAATGAAAAGCAAATTTGAAGCTATTGGAGATTTAACATTGAGACTGACATTCTAAGCATCTTACAAACATTTGGAATATGCAGGATTGACCTGGAAATACTGTTATAAACATTTTTTTTTCTTTTTTGTGGCAATGAGGTCTCACTATGTTGCCCAGGCTGTGTTCTCAAACTCCTGGCCTCAAGTGATCCTCTTACTTCGGCCTCCCAAAGTGCTAAGATTACAGTACAGGTGTGAGCTACCACAACTAGCCTGTTCATGTTTTTATATTTCATGCTTAAAGTTGGTCAGGATTTGAAAAAAAGTTCTCATGAGTATCTCAACATTTCTGCTTTCAGCTCTTACAAAATGCTGCTAGAGGAAGTATAGTAGACAAAGGAATAAAGATGGCCCCAGAAAAGAAGATTGTTACACCAAACTCTGAGAATCTATAAAAATAAGCTGCTCGGGTTTTAATATGCCTTTTTAAGAATCTAACTAATTCTTTATTATCTTGTAGTTTTACAGTACCCTTATTGTAATATTTTTAATGATTAAATATATTAAAAGTACATTTAAGAGAGTAAAGCTATTTTTTTCTTTTATGTCTTATTTTTCCCCATAGTAGCTGTTAT